GATTTAAGACATTGCTGTTTTTGGCCGGGGATAAGGGTGTCTCACTCCTCTCTCTGAGGTCATTGCAGACATTTTGGGAGAAAACTGTGGGCCACGAACAAGCACACCTGAGGCACTTGACGCTGACGTGCGTTGATCCAAGCACACCATGCTGCACCATGCTACTGTGCACATGATCCAAGTTGGGTACCGTCAGCCCAAAAGGCTTGGAAGTCCTAGGCTCATTTGGGTGTGTCTGAAAATAGAGAAAACCCCTAAACCCAATGGTTTTGCTGATCACAAAATCCCTATTAAATGGCTATTTCATTGGGAATATACCCTATTTTCAGACAAACCCATTTGTTTTAGCTTAAAGTCCTAGGCCCAGGCACCACAGCTTCCATGTGATTATGCCAAAGCTTGGCCACTGTGTGGCTCCGCAGAGAGTTTGAAGACTTAAAACATGTTCCCAGAATCGGTTTCAGGGAAAACAGAACCCCCTACCTTAAATCCATTCGATGGCCGTGGCTTCTGCTTGTCTGGCCAGGCATGTGAGCTGCTGGAAGCCCGTACCTACTCTCTCGAAGCTGTGCCCGAAGCTTAGTGGTATGTCATGCCGGAAGCTAGCGAATGTCAGGCCCGGATGAACCCCAAAAAAACATAGAGGAGAACATTCGTCCATGGTATGGATCAGAATTAGAGACCTGGGGTACCACGGATTTTAACATATTTCATCTTATTTCTAGAATTAACCATCCAATTATTGTTGTATATGGACCCATACCCAATGTGGTTCAGAGGTAGAATGTCAAAATCATTGGCACTACAATTGGGATTGTCACTTTTTTGGTAAACCCTGCTTTTTTTTCACTAATGAATTCTTATATAGGAGATATGTTTATTATATAGTATATTATATAATTACCCATTGTTTTCAGGGTTGAGTTCAGATCGAAGCATCAGATTCGCTGGGAATCATCCATCATGGTGATTTCTGCATGGCAATCTTCTGGAGATTGCCATGCACTTTTGAAGATGTTCTTCGTCATTTGGGTATGGGTCAAACTTAGCCATCCCACCATTTGTTGGCATTGTATTTTCCAAATTGCCACAGGTTTTTTTTGGTATTGATCCAATCATATATTGGGGTACCCACTTTTGACCCATAGCGTTTGCCATTTTTTCAGGAGCCAAAAGAAGTCAAAGATCATCTGCGAAGTTCTGGACCCGCGAACTGAGCGGGTCTTGTGGCGCAATGAAAACTTGAAAAAGATGGCCTACTTCTTTCGAAGCAAGGCAGCCTCGGTGTTTTGTTGGGGGTATTGGGGATGGGTCCATATTTGGACCGGGACCCAAATGGTAAATGGAAGATACCCTCTAGTAATTTGTTACATAGCTATTGAAAATGACCATTTATAGTGGATTTACCCATTGAAACTGGTGATTTTCCATAGCTATGTTAGTTTACCAGAGGGTATGTCACAAGATCACAAGATCTGCGAAGATTGGCTGCAGCCCTTGGAGGCGCTGGAGACGGGCATTTTCATGATGGCCATGTCCGAGCCAGCTGTGTGACATGCCCCAGATGTCGGATGTTGGGGTCAGATTTCCAGAGGTCATGGGGAATTTCTGCAGCATCCCAGGTTCAATACCCTGATGATCCTGATGTCTCCAAGCTGTCCTTCCTTGCAGGCTGGAACTTAGAGCTGTTGAAAACAATGCTGATGGGCTTCCAAAAATTCCAAAATACTGAACTCCCGCCAGCACTATCAGCAATTTTCCCCAAGTTTTCCATAAATTTTATTGGGACCGTCTGGGACCGTGATGAGAAACGGTCAGATTTTGAGGGCCCCCCAGGCTCCATTGGATCGGCAAGGTCAGGCCGGTGCAGGAGTTCCTGCCTCCTCGGGACACGGTGGCCGCTTTCGATGAGGACGCCAAGGAAGCGAAGACTTGGAGGGAACTCAGCGACGCTTGGGATTCACCGGTTGGTGGGCTTGCCACCGTTGGATGTATAGTGGGACCCTGGAAATATGATGAAATATGTGCTTTGCTGCTAAATATATCTGAATATCATCTATAATCAGCTGGAAAGACATTTCTATCTTTTTGGGATGGCTACAAAGTATGATATGTGCTAGTTGGATTGTCATTGTATACCCAGTCCTTGGGGGCACGGCCATCAATGCACAGGGATCCAGCAATACAAAATATCATCCGTAAATGGGATGAAGGATGAAAAGTCCGTAGCCATTTTGGCTTAAGCGCATGCAGGAGAACATGTGCAGAAATGGCGGAAGGTGGCACAGCGCAGCAGTTTCAATCGGGCCAGACAAGGGTACCTGAGTAGCACCCGATGAACCCCTACACCAAGGCACAATTTACTGCAGAATCGTCGAAATCAGGCACTTACGGTAATTATAATGGTTTGCTGGTTTTTACCTCCAAAATTTTCGGGCGCGCACTTGTTGAAGCGCGAAGCATAGATACAGACACCCGGGGATTTATTACATATTGCATGGTACGTAATATTTGTGAACGGCTTCAAAAAGAAAGCCATCAGAATGTTGCTGCCTAAGTATCCCAACTGCGCCATGCTGCTTCTAACGTGGCTGCTGTTCTTGGTAGGGCTTAGCCATGCCCAGCTTGTCCCAAAGGTGGTGGTGGTCACCACGTTTCCACCTGAATTTGTCAGGTGGAAGGAGCGCTTGCAGCTGAAAGAAGAGCTGCAATTCCCAGGGGGTGCTGGGTCAAAGGTTCTGTGTTGGAATAGTGAATTGGAGGTCCTTGGCATGGTGACCGGTGAAACTTCAAAGCATGCTGCACAGTCGGTGACAGCTTTGGGGTACGATCAGCGTTTCGATCTGCGAAAATCTGCATGGCTTTTGGCTGGCATTGCAGGTGTTGATCCCTTGGTTGGAACCGTGGGGTCCGTCACATGGGGTCAGCGCCTGGTTGATGGAACTGCAGTGAAATTCATTGATCCTCGAGAAATGCCGAAAGCATGGCCAAGCGGTTGGTTGCCTTTGCATCGAAACGAGCCGTATGGACTTCCTTTGCCATCACCTGCTGAGCAGAGCACCATGGTTGTGGAGCTCAATTCTAGACTGGTGCAGTGGGCCTATGATTTGACGCACTCTATGAAGCTCCCGGATTCAGAGGACTTCCAGGAGCTCCGTCTCCGCTACAACACTTCTGCAGCGAGAGCTCCGCCAAAGGTGATGCTAGGAGACACTCTGTCAACAGATGTTTTTTGGACTGGCAGCGAGAGCGCTGGATGGGCCCGAAATTGGACAAAGTATTGGCTTCCGGCAGGAAACTCCAGGAGTGAGGGCCGCCTAAGCACATCTGCTATGGAGGACTTTGCAGTTGCCGAGGCTTTGGTAGGTCTGCAGCGGTCCGGCCGAAGCTTTGCCGGATCCAATGCTTTGCTTGTGCTCAGAAGTGCGAGCAATTTTGTCGAGCCTCCACCTGGTCAGAAACCAGTTGCGGAACTGCCTTTTGGGCTGGACACCGCATGTGAAGCTGCATATGTTGTCGGAGAGGTTGTGGTGAAGGAGCTAATCAGGAGAGCCGACCTGCAAGTGCTTTATGGGTGATGAGCTCTGTGATGATGGAGGTCATTAGCATGAAACGACAGACCTTCCGTCATTTGCATGTGAAGGATGAAAATGGAGAATTCAGAGACCTGGTGGTTGATGGTTAAAGGTGATATGAGTTGTATCATGGTTATAGGGGCTCAAACATGGGTCATTTTGAGTATTAAATCATTCCAAAAGAGGGGTAAATACATTTGAGCCATAGCCAGACGTGGTTATACCAAGTGGTTTAATGGGGAGTAGGAACTAATCTGTCAGAAGCTTCAACCCAACATGTGGATGAGTCAAAACCCTTGATTTTCCATTTCGGGATGAGACCCATAAACTACCAGCTATTTGGATGACATTTAGGTGGTTCCAGGGTTGCCGATATCCTCCTTATCTGCTGGATCTTTGGCGCCAAACATGGCGAGATCATGGAAGTTTTTCTGCTAAGGATACAGTTCGAAAGCGTGGCGGCCTGCCAGTTCCTCGGTCTGGACTGACTCACTGTCTTCGTTGATGGGGGTTTCCTTGGATCCGAGGCTGGTGGGATGGAAATCCCAAAACGAGGCCTGGAACAGGGCTCCGAAAACAGCGTGGATGGTGAATGGAAGTTGGTTGCAGGGAAAGGTGCAAGGCATTTGAATTGAACAACCTTTCAAAACTGCGGTTAGAATTGGTAAATCCCGGTATTTTTTCCTTTCATCTCATTGGAGGGTGGGACCAGAGGAGGATCATGGACTGCCACTGATGCTTGGATCCTGCGCAGGAGTGTCAACTTGGCAAGGCAAGGGGACCAGGGTCAAGGGGAAGTCTGTGGAGCTTTAGTCACTTAGTATCTGTCCATTTAGGCAATCATTTTGTCCAATTTTTTGTGGGCATCAGATGGCATCAGTCATTTTGAGCCACAAAGCCTGCCAGGATGGGTCATCCAGATTCGTGGGTCCATATGGACCTTTGATCTTTTCTGGGCCTTGCCATTCTGTTGCAGAAATACACGGCTCAGGATAAGCAAAATGACTGGGCCGAAGGCGATACGCTGATCGTCCAAAGCTGAGTTCTCCCAGGGATCTCCCCCTGTTGATCGCCGCTTGGTTCTGGTTGGTGAGGTGATTCTACCTCCACAGGCTCCAAAAGGGAGCTAGCTGGTGCTGGCGCCACTGAAACTGGGTGGTGCTGGCGGGTCCCGGCCCAACAGCAAGACATTTGTTGCTTGTGAAAGTGGTGCAGCTGTGCTTGTTGAGAATGAAAGGTCAAACATGAAAAGATCTTGCTGCTATTGTTTTGTTCTGGATGGCGTTCAACCCGTCTCCATCAAATTACTCGGAGACCACTACAAACCTTGCACTGAAGATGCAAGATGCAGCTTTTATGACCATTTGTCACTGTTCTTTCTTTTTGGTGAGTAGTTGGCTTCAGAAGCAGCTTCTTGCAGCCTTGCAAGGAGGTTCAAGATTCCATCTGGAGCCCTTGACCCCCTCCGGCCTGACGGCCACAAACTTCTCTCAACTTCTCACTTCCAAACTTTCACAGTGTCTGGCACCATGCCCCAAGAAGTTGCCTTTGATCTCTACGATGAGCGCTGGAGGGACTGCTGGGTGGCAGCCACCTCTACAGCTCGGCAGCGCAAGAAGCAGGTGGACATGGACATCCAGCTGCGAGTGCAGCGGCTCATTGAGGACCATGGGCCGCAGACCGAGAAGCCCCTGACTCTCCGGGTCTATGGGACGATGATCAAAGGCTTTTGTGTCATCAACAATGAGAGGGCGCGATCCCTTTACTTCGATTCCGAACGTGTGGTGTTGATGTTTGCCCGCCAGCCCTTCACGGAGGATCACAAGATTAGGCTCCCAGCTGCCAAGAGGCAACGCATGGAGGCAGCCTTGACCCTGGACCTGGATCTGGCCCGAGTGGAGGCCTGTGAGGCCTTTGATTGGACCAGGGCACCACTGGAGCAGGGAGCTCTGCTGCAGCTGGGTGCGGGGTTTTCTCAAGAAGTCCTGCCCTCTATCGAATTGGCCGAATTGAAGATGCCCCAGCTACTGGATCCCAGTGCTTGTGAGGTGTCTCATGATCAGAAGCCGGAAGGCTGGGTGCCGCGATTTCAGGCCGAAGAAGGGAACAAGGAGGGAAAGGATCGGTTGGAAGTTACTGACGCACAGGATTGCAGCCAGTTGGTGGTTTCAGATATGGCTTTGGTATGGGTCAAAATTAGGACTACAAACAACTTATGGCTTATGGCTAAAGCCCAAAAATCGTCGTCCACTGCGCCTCACATTTTGACCCACACCCATTCTTTTTTGTTCATTTTCATTATTCACAATCTCATATCGCCAACATCCACCCAAAATTGATATTGATGTGCCCCGAATCCATCAACACATATTCCATCTACATTTACACAATTAATACATTTTTAATTTTAATCATCATTCTCCTCTTCCATCTTCCGCTTCTTCCGGAAATCCATCAGAATCCCCCCAGTATACATATAATCATTCCATCATCACAATAATATAGTAACAGTAATCCATCATTATAACATAATCCTGCTATCTGAATCTAACTAATACGATCCATCGTTGTAATTCCAATACCCATCATATCTTATTGAATCCTTCTCAGAATTTACCCTCTGGTAAACTAACATAGCTATGGAAAATCACCATTTTCAATAGCTATGTTAAATTACCAGAGGGTATCTCCCTTCCTCAGGTAAGATCGTGGCCATTGCCGAAGGCGCCGTTCCCAACGTGCCCAACATCGAGCTGCAGGAGCCGCCCGTAGCGCCAGCTGCCGTGGACCTTGAGACGCTGGCGATGGAGGCATCGAAGCGCTGCCGCCAGGAACGCGCCGCAGCTGCACTGCTGCGGCCTGGCGTGGTCTATGGCTTTGATGGCAATCCCATCATGGTGAAAGGTGATGGGATGAGATGGGGATGGGGCATGTTGATGGAGTTTTGAGTGGTTTGAGTGGTTTGATGGAAATTGCATCATGTTGGATACTTACAACCTACAACTCATTTCCGGAATCTCCGAACTCAGATTCAAATGGGCACGGCAGGTCAAGATGAGCGCCACGAGAGTCTCTGTCGCCCTCGCCTCAATGCAGCCACCTACCACGAGATGATGGAGCTGGACGCGCAACCGGTGGATCGCTTTGCGCCCAACTTCAGGCCTCCCAAACTCCCAACGGTATCCAACGTTTGATTGCTGATTGAGTACCTGAATATGATTATCTATTGTACATATGTACTGTAAATGTATGATATATAAAATATTCATTTGTATAGTAACATGATATGTAGGATGATGGAAGGCGGGTGAATGACGGAAAATCACATGCCACACTGACCCCCAGAAGTTTTTTTTTTTTTCGTTTCCGACCTCATAGCAGGCTGTTGGTGGATCCAGACAGCGTGCTGTACTTCGAGCAGGGGACAAACGTGGCCCTCTCTGAGTTGCCTGAAATGCAGTCCCTCCTCAGTGGAGCACCCAAGCTGCATGCAGATGTCCCCGATGCTGAGATGTATGCGGCCGCTGAGTCTGCAGCCATTGACACCCTGCTTGGTGATGTTGTGATGGAACCGGTAGAGCTGGAGGATGACATGAAGCTGGGTGGATTTGGCAATGTGGAAGCACAAGATGATCGAACAGCAGAAGTGGGAGACATCATTCGCAAGTGCTTGCGCGGGGCGAAGAATGGTGTGATTTCCTTCGACAGCATCATGCGGCCAGGTCAACAAGACAGGACCACGGCAGCCTTGACCTTCGCGTCCGTACTGGCACTCGCAAGTGCCGGAGAGCTGTCAGTTCAACAGGCTGAACCATTCTCTGCAATCATGCTCGCGGAAGCTGGATGCCTCTAGTTTGGTGCGGCGTTGGATGACAGTTGGCTCCATGAATTTAGACTTTCTGATTCGGAGTTGAGAGGGGTGTACAGGATGGCAAGGCTTTGTTAGTGTTAGTTCGTATTGGCCTTGCTCAGTGCCTCAGTGCTTGGGGAGTGCATAGGACAAACCTGGATGCTGGACCTTTGGCTGATGGCGCGAGCCTTTGGGTGTCCGGGTTTCTATGCCAAGCGTTGCTTGGAGCGATCGCAAAGGAGATTGTGACAGGAAACAAATCAGAGAAGCAAAAAAAGGACATGTTTAGCGTGGACCTTCTTTTTTTGCGGTAACTCCGAAATTCCAAAATCCACCCTTTTGAGCGATTATCGGATTTGGGGTATCATTTTTTGGAGAGACTTGTTGATCTTGTTGAGTGTGCAGGTCTTTTCTGCTTCGAAGCATTGCAGGTGATGCACTGCTGCTAAATTTTTGGCTGCAGCGGAGTGATGGGTGGAATCATGCCACTGTGTTCGATGCGGGTGCTCTGCTTGGGAAGAGTGCAGAGGCCTGACTTGCCCAACATGTCAAGATGACACCAGAGAAGTTTCCTTAGATTTGCAGATTATACAATCAATGGGTCGAAACTTGAAGGTTCGAGCAGAAGCAACTGTTGGTCGTTCTTGAGTTTTGAAGTTTGGGTAACCAATTTTGACCCATGTCACGACGCACTTCTGTAAATGCTTCATGTTGCAGGGTCCAAGCCCTACCAAGACATAGGACACTGCTTGGCAATGGGTGGACGACTCAGCAACATCTCTTTCATCACATTGGATAAACTGGTGTCACATTCTTCTGGTCTGTCCTCGAAATGGGATGATATTACACCCAACTGACTTTCATGTTATTTGGGATAACATATTAATTAAGCCAACCACTCTTGATAAGACGAGGTATTTCCATTTTCTTGTCCTTTCTGGACTTTGACACTGTCAGTGGCCAAGGTAGCTACAGGCAGGAACCAGCTATGCCCATCACAGGTGGCGAAAGGCCGGGGTGTGCCACATGATTGCATGCTAAGATGCAATCATAGGCGTGAAAGTCCCCGGCGAACTTCCACTTGCTTGCAGCAGTTCGTTCACTGTTTCTTATGGATCAAGACCTCATAGTTGGCTCAATGGGTTGTGCTTGAGCACACTCATTTGCCAGTTTTCGGGATTCAACACCAAGATGGGGGGAGCTCAGGAGCTATGGATATGCAATGATATGCATGCATTGGCTCAAGCCAGTTTTAGAGGCTAATTTTTGAGCAAATCCGACCCACTTTAAGACTTTTGAACTTTTAGTGGCCATGGTGCGTGGAGCAAGGAAAGCTATTGCTGTCGGAGTTGCGGTGGCTGTTGCATGCGGTCTGCAGAAGCACTTGAATTTTGTGCCTGGGCCTCGGCATAATGCTCCAGTGGCCGCAGCAGCAGCAGCCAGCATGATGATGGCTCCTGCGGCTTTTGCTGATGAGATCGGCGATGCTGCAAAGAAGCTTGGGGATGCTTCCTACTCCTTTGCCAAGGAAGTGGACTGGAACAATGGCATTTTCCTGCAGGCCCCCGGCGCGTTTCAGCCCTTGAAAGCCTTGACTGCCATTGACAAGATGATCGAAATGGGGGCAGCTGCAGATCCCAAGCTTCTGAAAGAGGCAGCAGAAGCACATCACAAGGCCATCGGAAGCATCAGTGGGCCAAATGGTGTTACTTCGCGTGCTGACTGGGATGCCGTGAACGCAGCCATTGGCCGTGTAGTCGCTTCGGTCCCCAAAGCAAAGGTCATGGCCGTTTACGATTCAGTGAAAGACATCACAGATCCTGGAGTGCCAGCTTACATGAAATCCTTGGTGAACGGTCCCGATGCCGAAAAGGCCTACGAAGGATTCCTGCAATTCAAGGATGTTGTTGAGAAGAACCAGGTGATCACAGCCAGTGCTCCAGCAGTTGTGCCTTCTGGAGACAAAATTGGTGAAGCTGCAAAAGCCTTGTCCGATGCTTCCTATCCTTTCATCAAAGACATCGATTGGCTGTCGGACATTTACCTGAAGCCGCTGCCTGGCAAGACTGCCCCAGAGACGCTGCAAGCCATTGACAAGATGATCGTGATGGGCGCCAAAATGGATGGCAACCTCTTGAAGGCAGCCGCAGAGGCACACCACAAGGCCATTGGCAGCATTGATGCCAGCGGCGTGACTTCCGCAGCTGACTACGAAGCTGTGAATGCAGCCATTGGGCGCTTGGTGGCATCTGTGCCCAAGTCGACCGTGATGGATGTGTACAATTCCATGGCCGGCGTCGTTGATTCCAGCGTCACCAACAACATGTTCTCGAAGGTGAATCCATTGGATGCAGTGGCTGCGGCCAAGGGTTTCTACACCTTCAAAGATGTGGTGGAAGCTTCCCAGCGCTGAACACTTCGAAAGTGCTTCAACATGCCTCGGAACACTTTTTAAATCTTGTATAGTTATGGAGTTACGGACATCTGTAACAGTTTCTTATGTTTCTTGACCAGGTGAGAATCTCTCTGGAGCCAATGAAGAAAATGGGGAGCCAGTTGGAGCTAGCATCAGAGTGTTGCAAGCATATATGACTGTTGGTGATATTCCATTGTACCATTTGATCATTTGTATCATTTTTCCCCAACAATAATGGACAATGGAATAATTGGACTGGTTCCATTGAACCAACAACATGATATTCCGTCATATCCATTGTATCATTTAATGGCATATTGTTGGTTTAATGGGAATATTGTTGGTTTCCATTGTACAATAAACTATTTTAATGGGAATATGATGGTTCCGTTAAACCCCCATTTCTGTTCAATCCATCACCACCATGGCGCCATTAAATGCCAGGCGCAGTAGCAGCAGCTACAGCGGCGATCCGCGCTTTGGAAGGTGCCTTTGGGTTTTTGGGGTTTCGGAGGTGGTAACGCAGCCAAGACCTAGCCCAAGAGTCAAAAGATCAGCCACTTTTGTTCTATTTTGAATCTTTTTAAAACATGTTGTTGGGTTTTGATGGGGCTTTGGCCGGCAGATGACGCGGCCAGATGGATTGAAAAGATCTAAAAAGCAGTCGAATCTTGCACAGAATGCATCGTCGACTCGAATCGCAGGACTTCGCAGAGAAGCAGGAAAGGCTTGCTTGGGCATCAACCTCAGGACTTTGAACGTGGGGAGGGAACAATCTGCCACTATTTTGGTGGAGATAAGACATAGTTTCAACTGTTTCAACAAGATTGCGAAAAGTTTACTAAAGTGTCTGGAAAAGATTGTTCATTTTTTTGAGTTGTTTTGATTGAACTGCACATTTCAGCCACGGACCTTCCAATGCCTACTGCTCCGCTATCCCAGAGACCAAGGCTCTCCAATCTGGGCAATACCTGTTTTATGAATGCGGCCCTGCAGTGTTTATCGCCTGTCTCTCAGATGCTGTCAAGTAGGATGTTCATCCCAGGAATGTGCAGTGGTACATGCCCAACTTTGGTTGGGTCGATCCTGCTGGGTATATCCTGTGAATGGTCCGAAAGGCCAAGCGTGGCAGGTTGCTAAGCAGTTCCGACCTGCGATGATCTCCTGGTGTGGATAGATCTTCACTCAGGCACACGCATGGGATGCAGAAGTACTTCCGGCACTGTCCGCATGCCTTTTCGTGGGAAGACCCAATGGACCAGATGAGTTGATGAAGGCTAACACATCACCATTGACAAGAGAAGTAAGGGTGGATAGATGATTGCCATACTCATCATTGATGTATCATTTTAGATGTTATAGGCAAGTTATAGATGTTAAATAATTTACAATCCACTTTAGAGCAACGCCCCAAATCCCTCATGGTTGATGTGGAGTGAACGATCACTCCATCGATCTGGGATCATCTAAGATCTTAACGACTGAGGTCGAAAGCCCAGGGTCCTCGACAAAAACTTCTGATGGCTTTTGCGCACTGGTTTGAGCAAGACTGGGGTGACCTGGCGACAGATGGGGCTGATCTTCGGAACGGAATGAAGGTCTAATGAAGGTCAAACGGTCAAGCAGATTGCGAAAAAACATGAAAAACCTAGAGGTTTTATGACGTTTTTGTGTTTCCTCTTAAGACACTCTAGTGCTTCGCAACGCTTCGCATGTTGCTACCGTTTTGTACCAAGGTGCAGGGGTGTTGGCGACTCAGTATTCACCTTCCTTTTGGGTGGATTCTTGGGAGTCCACTATGAAGCCCCGTGTTTGGATCTTTTTGCCGGTTAGAACTTCATGTTTGTAGCCGGTAATCAAAGATGGCA